TTCAACAAAACTAATGAATTTTTTTAGCCCGTTTAAGCCTTCTATAATAGGAATTTCAGGTGGTTCTTCATCAGTATCGCTCGCATCACCTTCTTCTAATTCCCGTTGTTCATCCAACATAATATTAACGATTTGGTTTTCGTTTAGCTGGTTTTCGATTGTTGGATTTGATAAATTTGTTGTGAGGTCTATAACTAATTCATCTACTTCAATCTTATCGAAATCTGTTAGGTCTTGAACAGAAAAAGTAGCGTCATCAATCTCAGTATCTGATACTAGTGGGAGAATCCCCATCTTTTTCCAGCAATTCACGATGGTCGATTCTTCGACTTCATCCTATGATTCTGCGATATAATATATCGCCTCTCGAATGTTTACTTTATTCCTGTATAAATAAAAATAAAAAATCATTGTTGTGAATTAAACTAGACAAGATTTAATTTGCAACACAAACTAACATAAATGGGTGTATAAAAAATCTATTTACTAGATAAATCCGCTATGAATTAGATCAGAGTGCGAACCAATTTTTTTTTTTTTTAAAAAAAAAAAACAAAATCGCCTATGGTCAGTGTAAAGTGCGTATGCGCTTTAAATTTTTTTTTTTCCGTATATATGCCGTAAGTAGAAATCGAATTTAAGTTGATTCAGAATTTTTAAGGTTAGGGTTGGAATTTTTAGTATAATTATTCCATTTTAATCTAGAACTCTATTATGATTTCATTCCCACTCACAACATATATAATTCAGTAATTTATAAAATGTCTTCCGTATACGCCCATTTATACACCATTATAGGACTATATACAGTCTATGCATAGTTGTTAAAAAAAATAATGGTAATACGATCATATGCATTTAGACATAATCAACTGTGTATTGCATAAGAAATGAAATATGATGTAATGTTTTAAGCACAATTTTCATTACCATTTGCCACTGCATATTGTAGCTAGTGTGATGCAATATTTGCATAAAAAATTGAACTATGCATCACATGTAGATATAAATTGTACTTTAAGAATTGACTATATTTATTTGTCACACAGTACTGTACGCAGTGGGCAAACGGTAATATGTTCTTACTTTCTTAACGTCAAGTCTTCGCCCCTTTCAAACTGATTGATTATATGCTGTATATATTTTTTTTATATTTCGCTTTGAAGCTATTGATTATCACTGCATCCATCAGCTGAAGGTGGGCAGTAGTTTTGGGCGGTAAAAACTCAATTTGGATATTTGTTAGATGAATATTGGAAGGATCTGGAATTTTATAAGGATGACCAGTGCCACGGCAACCCTTACTAAAATTAGAAACTCATCCATGACCACGACCACGACTGCGACTACAACCGCGACCACGTCCACGCCCACGAAGAGAATTTCGTCCCTTTTGTTTGTTAATATTACCAACATTCAATTTCAGGCAGCCACGTCGTGCATGCGGGGTTTTGGATGTACTTGCATGGATTTCTTCTTCAGATTCTTCTTCGCCTTCTGGTTCTTCACTTTCTGATTTTTCACTCTCTGATTCTTCATCTTCATCTTCACTTTCTGGTTCTTCATCTAGTTCCATTGCATCTTGACTATTATCATCATTAGGATTATAATGACTCGTCGCACCATCAACTATCAATAAAATTTGCCGGTTTTCTAAACGAAACTTTTCATCAAGTTTTAAGAGCCATTTACAGAAGATTTTAGTTCGCATCCAAGCTTTTGAATTTGCACGATATGTTACAAGTAAGGTATCATAATTTAAACGGACCAAGGCCTTAGGTTCAATGGACGATCCAATTACTATAGGTTGTAATTTTTCGGTTCCAGTCACATTTGCGGCCAGCATAATCATAATATGCACACGATCCTAAATAACGTACAAATAACTAAAATCAGTAAACTAAATAAATTTGACATATCCGATTTAAGTTGTAACCAATGTTTAAAATTTGATGTTTTCAGTATTCTTCAAGACCAATACACAAATTTGGTAGCCTCTTTACAGAAATGTTAAACGGTGCTTCGTGCTCTAATAATTAGTAAATATAAGATTATTAAACTAAGATTAAATATAAAGGGTAGAGGTTAGAGTAAGATATAGTTTATAGTAAAATTTATCAAGGAATATTTTTATTTAGTTCTCCTGATTAAAATATAGAAGGAAAGCATCAAATGCATGGGCATCATACAAAATACCCTATAACTTATTAACGCATGTTCTTTATTTAAGTGCTGCCAAAGGAAAATGTCTCTCTGTAAATTGTAATATATTAATGATTATTTATCTAAGTCAGCCTTTCTGATCAATGACGCATCGGGCTTTCAAAATTTGTGCTATATTGTATGTACATATATATATTGTGATTATTGTTTAACCGATATGTCATATAATTAAAAGCCTGATGCATCATTAACCAGAGGGGCTGAATTAGATAAATAATCTATAATTTACAGAGGGTCATTTTCTCTCATTTTAGAACATTAAATGAATTTTTAAGCATTAAAAAAATTCTAATTTTTTATATAAAAAAAATTTTAATTTTTTGAGAATATAAAATTAAACTCAAATTTTAAACATTGATTATATCAGAACAAATTAAAAAAAAACCTTCTTGCAACCCGATTGTAGTTGTGATGTGAGCGTTTGATGCGGTGCTATACGAAAATATAAACCCGTTTCATCGGTATTAAAAACATTATTTAATAAATACTTTTCGATTATTTCATGTAACTTTACTCTTTGTTCTGGAAGTAATTCCATTGGCGCACTATTGGCTTCTTCATGTATCCGGTAGTTTCGCAGATTATTTCTTTTTTTGAACTTATGAACCCATCTATTAGAAAATTTTAACACATTATCTTGTAAACCTAATGCCCGGGCAAAAAAAATTACCTTTTCCTTAATAATCGCTTCTGTCAAAAAAATTTTACTGCCTACAACTTGTTTGACCCACAGCCGCATAGCTTTATCTAATAAAGGATATTTAACTTGTTTGTGACGAAAGACATTCGTATTGGCTTTATTATCAACAAGTGCCAACCATTTTTCTTTTGCTTTTAAAATTTTTGAAATAGTTAAATGTTTAAGATTTAATGCTGAATTCCTTTGCTTAAAATATTGCGCAATATTTAAATGCGTTTCATTCAGAAATTTATTGCTATATTCACAAATTTTCTTTTTTAAGCTGTTACTAATGGCCGTTCTTGCTCTTTTATTTGATATTTTTCACACCTAATACCTTTATATTTTTTAAAGAAATTGTAAATGTTGATTACATTAAGCTTTAACTATAGTAAAATTTACGGCAAAATGTGATTCACAGAAAACCAACAATGAAACTTGACTTACGATGAACTGACCCACAGTAAACTTAATAACTGTGAATATAAATCACAGCAAAATTTTACTCAAAATTAATTTATTATGGCAAAGCTAATAATGTTAAGCTTAACCACGAGATCAGCGAAACCTCAATTGACAGAAGCTTTTAAAAAGTTTTTTTTTGATCAAAAAAAAAAATTTTTTTTGATTAAAAAAAATTTTGATTTCATCTTATTTGATACTTCTTGTTTCCATTCTAACACAATATAATTTATTCTTTACGCCAAGCATATACTACTAGTATTGCCACCCATATTTGTTCTTGATCTTTATACGCTGGGCTCTCTTCTAATTTTTTCATACTTTGGCACCACTTGTGATAGAATTCCCTAACATGACCAACAAAAAAGTTCAGGTGGATGAGTAGCTGCTACTTGTTTAATGTTCTTACATATATGCAGCTATTGATAAATATAAAAGGTACATAAGTAAATATAATTCTTAACAAAATTATAATGTTATATATTGATCTTATCACACTGGCCATGATCAATATTACTATTATGAACGCTTTATTAAAAAACTTATTTGGCTATGAATAATATACCCTATTTGTAGTTATTGATCAATTCTTAATCGACTTTGACCATCAGATCAAATGAGTGCTGCCAAGGGAAAACCTATAAGCCAATTTTGAGACATCAATAAGGCGAGTTTACCCCTGGGAAAATTGTGATATGACGTATTAAATCATTGTATACAATCAGTGTTTCATATCATGTGCACTTGTCGCCATTTAACAGACTTAAGTTAATAAAAATTTTAATGACACTGATTGTATACAATAATTTAATACGTCATATCCACAATTTTTTCAGGGTAAACTCGTCTTATTGATGCCTCAAAATTGGCTTACAGGTTTTCTCTTGACAGCACTCAAATGATCTCTTTACTATTTAATTTTCATTGTCTTTGGTTCATTCAGTTAATTTATTTATATTTATTATTCATTTCTTTATT